AATGATATAAAAAAGTAAAGCAATCTCCTGGAATTAAGAAATAAAAGTAACATTGAGGAGACCTGTATGAATACTTCTCTCTGGCAACACCACATTTAATACCTGCTAGGGTGGTTGGGAGGAACTTGAGGCCATCTGTTCCAGTAAAAATGTCCAGGCTCATGGCGGGGGCGGATCACAACTGCAATGAAAGGAAGGAAAGTTTTTATGGGTTTTCGAATAAAAAATATGAATTGGATCTTTATGTTTAGTTGCATATAAAGTTTTATTGAGACACAACCATACACATTCATTTACGCATTGTCTATGTCTGTATTTTCAGTACAATAGCAGAATTAAGTTAACTGCTACAGAGACCATAGAACCAAAAAGCCTAAAATAGTAATGAGCTAGACCTTTTGCAGAAAATGTTTGCCAATTCATGTTCTGAGGCTAATATTTTCTAATCAGAGTTGAAAAAAAAGCAACTCGGTTTTGTTTATCTGTTCTTTGGAACATGTTTAAATAATTCCTTGATATTGAGTTAAACATCATATCAAATATCAAATTAAATTTCCTTTCAATGGTTTCCTTAGATTTTAACTGAGTAGCTATTAGATCACTATAGACTCTATACTTGCTTTTAGCCACTGTCTCTCCCATAATAAGCTGTGTTAATTTTGTTAAGCCAAATATTTCTGATACTAAACATAAAAAAATCATATTGAGATAATAGTATACTGTTAAAAAAAATTTTTTTAAATAGTATACTGTTACACAAATAGCATATAATTGAGTTGTATTATTTGAGTCCTTTTCTTTTTCTATTTTTATTTTTCCGAAGGATACAAGAGCTGATAGCAAGTATGCCTAGCAATATAGATGTTTGTTACACACCCTTTAATCAGTTTAGGTCTTTTTTTTTTAATTATATCTTTTATGGAACTAAAATCACATGGAGGGCATCAATCCCAAAGTCTCTTTCTGGACATACCACATTTTAGCACAAACAATGTGCAGTAACATGTTTCTTTACAAACTGCACAACCAATTTCACTCATGTTCACTATGTGAGTTATATGTGAGCTATTTATGTAGGTGCATGATATGTAAAAATGTGATATTTAAATCACTAGAATTTGTAAGGTGCCTGGTGGTGTGATGTTAAAGTGCTCTACTGCTCATCAAAAGGTTCACAGATTGAAGCCCCAGTATCTCTCTCGGAGAACCTGCCGGCAATTGATTCCCTTAAAAATGATAATCTAGGAAGCCCTTTGGGGAAGCTTTGCTCTGTCCTCTAGGGTTACTATGGGCTAGAAAGGACTCCTTGGCACACAACAAAAGATTCTTGATCTTTTTAGCACTCTGAAGTCTTCGTGAACTTCTAATGAAGGCACTCCCTGCTCCCTTGGGTGCCAGCCCTCCAGGCCCTGCATTGCCTGCCCAGCAGCCTAAGAAAAACTTCTCACCCTTGTTCACTTCTTAGAAGCACACCTTAGCCTACTTTCCTCATAGTAATCCTCCTGAAGCACCTGCTTTGTGTCCTTTTATCGGTCCCACTTCACCCCTTCCTGGTACCTGCCCAGAGGTTTCTAAAGGTGATCACTGCAGAGAGCATCTGAAAGAAACCTTTCATTGACTTAAGTCCCCAGATATCCAAAAATTTGGCTGCTATAACATTGTCAAAATTAAATAGATGGAGAGATTATTTGAAACCACCGACATGTGACTAAAGAAAGGCACACCTATGGCTTATCCAAGACAGTAAATAATTGTTTAGTGATTAAGTCAGTAGATGAGAGTGAGACTATAACTCTTGTGTGGTCTCTCCTCCTGCTCCACCAGGATCAGTCTCTTTCATTTCCGGGCTACTCTGCTCTGCTCGGTGTTTTCTCGCTTGCTCTCAAGGCTTGCATGCATGGAGAGCACAGATTCAAATAGATTCTTCTTTACTCAGACACCGTTCAACTAAATCGAATCTCTGTGATCACATTTGTGTGGCATTTTAGAGAAAAAGAAATGATAACTAACTGCCAGCGATGTGTCAAACATGGTTATAGTTGCAATGCATGTATTATCTCATATAATCTTCACAACTACTACATTTTTACAGTTGAAAAACATTCAAGATGATTGGTTGTATAACTTTACCCCAAATCAGAAAACTAGCAAGCTAGCTACATTGTAGAGCTATATATGACCCTCAAAATTATTTTACTTCCATTTCACCATATTGGCTACCTACTTGTTCTTTTACTAAGTTAAAACAACAGCAACAACAAACTCACTGCCATTCTGTCAATTCTGACTTAAAGCAACCCTGTAAGACAGATTAGTGTGCCCCTGCGTGTTTCTAAGACTAGTTAAGGGAATAGAAAGCCTCATCTTTCTCTTTTGGAGTAGCAGGTGGTTTCTAACTGCTGAGCTTTTGGTTACCAGGCCAAGTACACCACCAAGGTTCACAAGACCAAGCTCGATTCCAACTCATATTGAACACCCACCTTGTCAGACATTGTAGTTAATTATTTGGTAGCATTATTTCATTAAACTCTAAATCACAAAGTATTACCAGTGACAAAAGTGATGCTTAGAAAAGGTCAAGTAACTTGTGCAAACATTTTATTTTTTATAATATGTAATTTTTAATCAAATAGCAGTTATACTATTTATTTATTTCCCTTCTTCCTTCCAACCACTATCTAAGTAAATATCTTTAGTGAAAAATCAATAATCCATGGGATTTAAACCAGATTTCTTTATTTAGCTGGCATTGTACCTACTCTGATCATTTCACTCATCTCCCCAAAATTACAACGCTCTGGCCTGCTACTCTCTAATCTTTGCCTGTGGTTTCACCCTGTCTTCTGCCTTGAATGTTCACCCTCCTGGTTGATGACGCTCTGGCCTTCCTACAATTCCAGACATAAGCCTCCCTATGAAACCTCTGGATTTCTTAATAGTCACATTTATTTCACCTTTAACCTGGACTGTCTTCTCTTTTATTTTTTAATTTTTCTGTTAACTTCCTAAATTATCTCTCAAGGAAGGAACTGCTTTTCATTCTCTCTGTAGTGTTATACCTGTTGAGTGTCCTATATTTAACTCGAAGAGACATATTAAATAATTCACATTGCATAAGAGAACTTCAAGGAAGCTGATTACACCTATATATCCTAGTAAACAACCAACAAAGCAAAACAAAACTTAATGTCATCGGGTCCAATTTAATGCATAGTGACTCTAGGGTTTCTGAGATTAAATCTTTATGGAACTGACCGTCTGATTTTTCTCTAGTGGCTGGTGGGTTTGAACCACTGACCTTGCAGGTTAGCAGCTCAATGATCATCCCTCGTGCTATGCCTGGATGTTAGTTGCTGCGTGCCATCGAGATGGTTCTTACTCATAGTGACCCTATGTACAACAGAAGGAAACACTACTTGGTCCTGCACCTTCCTCACAATGGTTCTTAATTTTAAGCCCATTGTGTCAATCCATCTTGTCAAGAATCTTCCTCATTTTTTGCTGCCCCTCTGCATGATATCTTTTTCTGGGGACTGGTCTCTCCTGAAAACATGTCCAACGTACATGTAAGATGAAGTCTCACCATCCTTGCTTCTAAAGAGCATCCTTCCAAGATAGATTTGTTCGTTCTTTTGGCAATCCAGTATTCTTTGTCAGCACCATCATTCAAAGGCATCGAGTCTCCTTTGGTTTTCCTTATTCAGTGTCCAACCCATGCCTTAAGAGGGCTCAGAAATCATTTAATCTTGTTTGATTTAGAAACAAACTCTGTTTAGAATCAACATGACTCTGAAATTACTCTAGTTCTTGTGCCTGAAGGCACTGGAGGTTTCAGAATAGAATTTCCACTTCTACATAGGAGACCTGGTTTCAGTTCTCCACGGCTGGCCCTCATGCACATCCAATACCAGTCTTTTAGTGGGAACTTGGGTTACTTTGATGTTGAACAGGAAAACCAATACTGCAGAGATTAAAACACTTGGCCAATAACCGAAAGGACAGCAATTCAAGCCCACCAGCTGCTTTGTGGAAGAAAGGTGCTTCTGTAAATATCACAGCCTTGGAAATCATACGGGGAAATTTTACTCTGTCCTCTAGGGTTGAATTTGGGATTTTGTTGCTATTATGATGCTGAACTTCAGACTAAGCTAAATTAGAAAAACATGTCTAGTTATCTACTTCTAAAAATCAACCACGGAAAGCCTTACGGTTTACAGTAGTCCAGTGTGCAGCCACTTGTGGTATATTGCAGAACTGGACAGCATCTCATTCACTTGTGAATGCGGTAACCAAGGTATGGGGCTGACTCACAGGCACAACTTCCTGTGCAAGAGCACGTGAGCTAGCGCAGTAGCAGGATCTCCCTCGACCCTTCTCCCCTCTCCTCTCACGGACCTTTTCTACCTTCCTCTTTCATCCTTCCTTCATTTGTCAAAATGGAAATCGTCCAGCCTTCCTTGAAATAGTAGAAAAGGAACTAGAGTCAGGAGGAAACCTGGAACCTAATCCCAGCTTTCTTGGAAATTACATGGTTCCACCAGTTTCCTAGCCTCTCTCGGCCTTTTTCTACAATAAACAATATGAGGAGACAAAATTAGATGCATGGAGCAATTTGAGTTTATATATTATATATAACCATTTATTGTAATAGACTCTTCATTCCTCCTTAATACCATGTTATATTATTTGAAATGTAAATGCTTGTTTCTCTCTCTCTCCCCCTCCCTCTCTCTCTCTCTCTTTGGTTTGCTTAAGGTTATAGCTCAGCAAGTGTCAGAAAAACACTTGGAAGAGGGCCGGCTTTATCCTCCTTTGAACACCATTAGGGAGGTTTCTCTGAAAATTGCAGAAAAGGTAAGACCATTATTTTTGTTTCCTTAACTGTTTTTTTAAAAACCACAAATCATTGTCTTTGAAAAGTACACCTAGAAGATCAACGGACTGCATGAGAAGTCAGAGAAGTGAGGCATGGTGCCATAGTAGTGCCTAAGACCCAGGCTGGACTATTAGGGAAGTTGGAAAAATTGGAATGAATTATTTCTTTCCCTTTTCCTTCGTGAATTACGGAATAGTTCACTGGGGATTCCTTTCCATGAGGTTTCCCATTTCAACTGTTTTAGTTATGCTTTTCCATGTCACCCTTGTAGTTTTCACCAAAGTGCTTGCAGATGTGGTAGAGTGCTATTTAGGCCTTCAACCACCACCTTATTATCTTTTTTCCATTATCTCCATGTATAGCTCCTGATATTTTACGTGACTTAAGTCATGATGGATAATCCTGGGAAGTAGAATAATGAATGGCATTGCCAAATATCTGTCCCCTGGGCTGAAAAATCATTCTGAGTTAAAAATTGATGTTCAAACTATTAGTGAGTTTATTTAAACATCATTTTGAATTCAGTCTTATTGATAGGAATTTGGGTGTTTCAATATACAAATAATCCTTCTAAAAAGGTTAGATAATGTGCTTGCTAATTATTATGTGCCAATGCCAAACTCTGAGTGCCTTATATTTTTCTTGCTTCCCCAACTCCCGACTTCTTGCACTACTGAAATTGCTCTCATGACCATCGCTGATAGCATAAGTACTATCATCATTTTAGTGTCTATGCTTCCAATCTCTTTTCATAAGCTTACTTGCTTTTATAACATCGTCAAAATCATGATATACTCATACTTTTGTTTCCTGATCTTTTCACAAAGATTTAATCATGAGACTGTATAGTCTTTATAATTTTTCATAAATGCATAATCTTACATTGAGAAGAGATACTTAATCATTCTGAGATTTTTCTAAATTAAATTTATTTAGGTAAGTCTGTCATGCAACTATATCCTCAGTTATTTTTCTAGCATATATGGAATGATTAATTTTGACAAAGTGGAGAATCTGTTTGTTTGTTTGTTTGAGAAAGTAGGGAAAAGAGCATGCATGAAGACGTAGAGGAGCCAGTTTGGATGGGTGAATTTAGATGGTTCCTTCCTAGTTAGAATATTCTCAATAGGGAAGCATCAAATTGAGAGTTAAAAACAGGAGAACATTTGGAATTGCCTTTTGGGAATGATGAGAAGAAGTTACTTCAGTGGCACCAAATCAGGTTAGGAAAAGTATGATATTACAGTAAACCCAGAGCTTGGCTCTGTGGTGGGCAGCCAGGAAAGGAGGAAGCCAGCAATGACAGGTCCCCGGATTGGGGACCAGAGCTGTGAATATAACACAAAGATATGGAGACAAGAGAGTCAACGATGTTGGCCAGGCCAGGACCAGTAAAGCTTGACGATGGTGTCCACGTAAATTAGGTGGACAGGATTAAAAGGCCCTGCCATAAATATAGAGGTTTTGTGCTGTCAGAAGAAGGCTTCTTGAAAATTCATGAGGTTCAAGTCTGATAGAATTTTCAGGTCTTTAGTTCCAGTTAATTATTGCATTTCCAAAATTGATTATCTGAGGATACCTGCTGTGATCACACTTAAATTTATCTAAATTGTTCACACTTCACTTAGTTGCCAGTAACCTACTCTTGCTCAATGATTTATGATTGCGTTTTCATTTTATATCCTCCTATATAGGTGTACTTTTACTATAACATAATTTTTGGAAACCAGTAAGATATGAACAACAAAGTAATTGTTAAATAAATGACAAAAGTGTTCCCCCCTTGTCCTCATCACCACCTATATTTAGTAGTAAAGTAATTCATTCTATTTTCTTACTTTTAGATTGTGAGAGATGCATACGAGGAAAAGACAGCCACAGTTTATCCTGAACCCCCAAACAAGAAAGCATTTGTCTGCTCTCAAATGTACAATACTAATTATGACCAGATTCTACCTGATTGCTATTCCTGGCCTAAAGAGGCTCAGAAAATACAGACCAAAGTTGACCAGTAATCACTGACATTTCTAACTCCATAATGGAGATCTTGAAAACTTTCACAATTTTCAAAAGTTCGATTCTTTTATAATGATTCATAAAATGCTTTACATTAAGGGAACTACCTTAACAATTTAATAATTTATAGATGAATCTGAATGTAAATTAGAATAAACATTACACAACACAATTTGGTTTCATTTGTGTTTTACTTGTGGTTTTTATCTTAATTTTTCTCAAAATTTTCTTTAAAAACTATTGTGCCTACTACTGTAAATCTCATCATTTTTACAGTGATAACTGATGGAAAAGGAGCTCTGGTGGCAAGTGGTCAGGGAGGCTGCTAACTGAAAGGTGCAAACCCCCCAGCTGTTAGCAATCTGCTTCCACAGAGACTGACAGCTGTGGAAACTTTCTGGGGTGTTTCCACTCTGTCCTTTCCTATTAGGTTTTATGAATCAGAATGAATTCAAGGTCAACAGGGTTTTTTTCCTTTTGTTTTTTTAACTAATGAAAAAAACAAATGAATTATAAATGAATTTGATCATCCTTGAAACCCACAATTCTTTTGTTGACCCTTGTATTAAAATATACTTTATAAATAAAAACAAAAAAATTAATTTAAGGATTGATGACTTTTTGCTAAAACAAAAATGACAGTTCTTTTGTTGCCTAGAGAAAAAATAACTTATCAGGTATTTTTATCCCAGTCCTAGATTATATTTGTTCATTTTGTGCAATTGAATTTTTAAATTTCTAAGTAAGATCACGCCTTATGCAACTTTAGATTTTAATATTCTTTTGCAATTGTTACATCTTATGAATAGTCCTTAGTCAAAAATTTCTTCCAAAGGTAACTTTACTTCCCCTGACCAAATGCCCTCTCTCTCAGCTGTCGCACTTTTGCTACAGGGCCTTTTAAGACAGTGGCCTCTACCAGAGGTTGGCACTTTCCGTTTTGTACAGCCTAAGCAGTGAGAAGGCTGTCATGGACAGTGCCTCGGCTGTTTGGGAAAGGGCTGCCTGAAGACTTACCTCATAACACAAGGATCCTCGCAGTCAAGAATGAGACCACAGTTTCTGGAGAAGCTCAGTTCCTCTGAGTTAACTGTCTAATATACGCTGGATTCGTCAGGAAAGTGAGAGCTCACTGTCACAATCAACTCACTTTCCTCAATGTGGAGAAAATAATTTTGTAACCACCTTTTCAATATCAGAGATTATCTTTGCATCAGATATTAAAATGCTTTTATGATTAGTTTAGGGGTAGCAGTAGTTACCGCTTCAGAAATTAACATTATTTCTAAGTTTTAGTTTAGAAATTAATCATTGTACAAATGAAAATTTTTAATTCTTAAGGTCAGGTGCAAAAATATTTGGTATTAATTTGGAGAGTTTTCTGATTCTGAAGTAATGCTTTAAAATGTAAGATATCCTACGAGATAAACTATATTATAAAGTAGTTTTATGGAAAATTGAAGGTTACACAAATGGTTTTAGGTATGAGTAGAATGGGTGTGAGGTATTTCTAAAGGGAACATTTAGTAAAGTTTTTCTTCAATAGAATTATTTTGAAAAGACCCAGAATGCCTGTCTTTTTCTTATCTGTTTCTATGTTGTCTTGTATCTCTAACTAAATGTATTTACCTATGCAAAAAGATTGATTAAAGCATAAAAATATAAATAAGATGATGAAATGTCTTTCCTTAAAATATTGATACATTTTAAAATTGGCAATTCTTGATATGACAGGTCCTCTGACTAGGTACCATGAATTGTTAAACTTTTCTAATAATTGCTTATTTCAACATGAATTTTATTCATTTAATGTATATGTAATCATACAGATAGATAGATACTATCACGTCTGCATCCATAAGCAAAGTCAAATCTAGAGCAGGCCATCCTTAAAGGCAGCACAAAATGTGTATCATCTCACAGGGGCAAACACCTTCCTCTTCATCAGGTTGGGTCATGGTCAGCTCAGCCCTAGGCATTCCAAGATCGGTCAGTGGGTGTCATAGCAGCATGGGAGTTTCACATGAGTCTCACGCTGCTTCACCTCACTGGCCTCTTTATATATTCTCATCAGTCCTAGCCCACTTGGGCTAGGTCTGCCAAAGGCTCAGGTTCCACACAACTCTTTCAACTTCAGCTCAACCAGCCCATTCTCGTCTCTCCTAGGCCCTGTGGACCAAGTCCATGGGTGTCAGTGGCCAGATTCAACCTGTCTCTCCCTTGCTGCCTTTACCCCAGTTCCATTCAACAAGTGAATCCAAGTGGTCACCTAGCAAGTATCCCAGGTTCCATTTAACTTTCAGCCCTAAAGGGAGGGATTCTTTGTTGGTTGTGAACTTTTCCAACTTAGGTACATCCACAGGTAAACTACTTCCTCAAAATTTTAAAAGCCAAAGTCATTTTTTTCCTTCAGTCCTATAGCAGTTCTAGTAGTACATCTTTTCAAACACAAATATCCTGATATTTGAGATGCTGGGTGGGGCTTACCTTTTTATTTTTAGCTAAAAAATTCCATTTATTTTATTTAATATACATTTTATCATTTTTTGGGGAGCTCTTATAGATGCCACAACATTCCTAGTTCAATCACATCATGCAGTATTGTACAATTGCTACCACCGTCAGTTTTAAAACGTTTTATTTATTCTTGATATTAGCTCTACTTTATGCCCTCCCTTCCCCACCGAACCCCCCTTTTCCCCAACCTCCCCCCACCCCAGGAACCCTTATTTTTATTATTTTTAATTTTTACTACATCTTACACCATCCGGTATAACCATTTATGTACAATTCTGTTGTTCGCTCCCCTTGAGTGGGTTATAGTGTCATCAGTGCTATTAGCTGCTCACCAGCCCCCACCCCCTTGCTTCCCATTCCCTCAGGGAGCCATTACTTATGTTACTGTTTCTGAAGGGTTATCTATCTTGACTTTCATGTATTGAATGATCTTAATTATACAAATGAAGACATGCAAGTCTAACATGATTAATGAGGTAAAACAAATTAGAACCATAATAGTAAGGGGAGGAAATATTAAAGAGCTAAAGGACAGTTATGTGTTTCAGTGCTATACTGCACCCTGGATTTATCATCCCTTCCATGTGATCCTTCTGAGAGGAACTGTCCAGTTATCTTACAGGTGGGTTTTGGGTCTCCACTACATCACATCAATTTGGTTGCTTGGTTTTGAACTTCTGATCCCTTTTTCTGTCGATACCTCATGATCACACACTGGTGCTGCTTCTATATGGGCTTTGTTGCTTCCCTGTTAAGATGGCCCCTTGTTTGACCAAATCTTAAGACTCCAGACACTATATGTTTTAATAGGGCACCATTATCTTTCTTCACTACATTTGATTATGTCTTGTTTGCATTTTGTCTTCAGTGATCATGTCAGGAAGGTGAGTATCATACAATGCCACATTACTGGAACAAAGCATTCTTGTACTGAGGTAAGGTTTAAGTAGCGGGCCAAAGTCCATCTGTCCTTATTGCATTTGTAGACAGATATGGGGGCACCACAAAAAGAATCGAATTTTTTCAAAGCTGTATATTAATTTTTTTTTTTTTTTTACAAAACAACTTCACTTTCAAAGTACTTTCCATTACACTTAATACATTTGTCAAATCTGCGATTCCATTATTGGAAACATTTTTCAGGCTCCTCTGTTTGGATGCCTGACTGCACCTCCCTCATTTTTTCTTTCTTTTATTTCCTCAGTCACTGTCCTTTCACGTCCCTCTTCATTTGAGGAAACAAAAAGAAGTCACAAAATTGTGAGGTCAGGTGAATAAGGTGTGTGGGGTAAGAGAAGCATGCTGGGTTTTGCCAAAAACTGGCCAAAAAACCCAAAAGTGTTTTTTTACCAAAAATATGGCTGCGTGAGCAGGTGCGTTGTCGTAGTGGCAAAACCAGTCCTCCGTCTGCCACAAATCAGGCCTTTTTTGTCGCACACTTAACGCAATATTTTCAGAACCTCTAAATAGAAAGCTTGATTAATAGTCTGACCTGGTGGAACAAACTCCAAATGCACTAAAAGTGGACATTTCTTCATTCGGGAAGTTGATAGATGCCCGGGATGTGGTTTATCATCAACCAACATTTCACCTTTTTTGAAATGAGAAAAACACTTGTACACTTGAGTTTTTCCCATAGCACTGCCCTTATAAGCTGTGTTCAACATGTTTCTGCAGCATTTTTCCTGAGCAGGAAACAATTTCATAGCCACACGCTGTTCTCTTAAATCAGCTATCACAAAAAACAAGGTTTGAGCGAAACTGCTTTCAAAAAAAAATGCACTGTGACTGTGTGTGTGTTTGGAGAGAGAGAGAGGTATATCAAGAAATGGCTCACACAGTTGTAGTAGCTAAGTCCAGTCTGGTTCAAGACTATAGGTCAGATAAAAGCTATAGAGGTCTCTCCTAATGCATGCACCTGCAAGAGCTGGTGAACAGGAAGCAGGAAGACAAAGCAGGAAGGTCACAGGCTGGTGGATACAGGGCTGAATGAATTCAAAGTCAGTAGCCTGACAATAGCTTCTGGGATTGGCAGAGAAGACAAAAGGAGACCTAAGAAGCAGGAACCAGATCCAGGGGAAGGTAAGAGCAAGCGAGAACTCTGCTCTGCTCAGGGTCTCTCTCAGACAAAAGGCCAGACCCCTAAGGAGGTGTCATCAGGCTGTGACCTGATTAATAGGTTGGACTTCACCCCTACAATTTCAGACAAGTACCGTCAAGTTGACAAAAAATTCTAACAACCACTATATCCCACATATATTATCTTACTTGATTTAATCCCCACAGTTAATGCATGAAGTAGATATCTGAAGTAACATTCCAGTCCAGAGAACTAATAAATGAAAGAGGTAGGCTTTAAATAAAGGGTTATCTTCATAATCCTAGTTTATTTTACTATGCTATTGAACAGTGCTATTCAATAGGGAAAAAAGGAAATCCATGTTTAATATTTTATAGTGGTTATGTTAAAAAAACCAAATCCACTGCCATAGAGTTGATCCCAACACAAGTGAGTTCATTAGTGGTTACAAGGAGCTGGGCTTTGGGAAGGAACGGGGGTTATTAGTAAAAAGGCCCTGAGTTTCTGCTTGAAATGGTGTAAAGCATTTGAAAACAGATAATGATGGTGATAACACAGCCTGGTGAATGTGATTATAATGTCACTGAATTCTACACTTTAAGAATGGTTAAAATAGCATTTAAAAATTGTAATGTATCTAACAGTTATGCTTGCACCAAAAATTTTAAAACAGATGAATGATAAAGCCAATATATCATTTTATTGATATTCAAAATCCAGGGCATATTTTATATGTTGTCTCATTGTGAATTCTAACTGTACTTATTGAGTCTTGGAGAAATGATAGGGAATGACTCCTGCAGTATGTTGTTCTTAGTTATGATGAACATTGAAACCATCTTTGGAAAAAGTAATATTCTGTCTGCAAAGGTGGCACCTCAGCGTTAAATCTTTGCCCTAGTCCAGACTAGGATTAACACACCAGTGGCTCACAGTGGAAGATCCCACTGGGTGGGTCCAAGGAGAGCTTGGTTTGAAAGTGTCCTGAAAGGACACATTGTGTCAAGAAGGCAGGTGGGGCGAGGTAGACCCAATTCCAAAGCCCTGTGGTCAGAGAAGGGGGTGAGAGTCTGATGAATACAGTGACTGTGTGCTCCGTCTTACTCTATGACACATTATTTCATTGATTCTGAAAACTCATGGACATACATGGCATCCTTCTAACAGATGATAGTATAAAATGAGAGAAATTCTCCTTGTTACTAAATCCCACCCAGCATTTAGCTTTGGCAGGAGAATGAAGTGCTCCCTGGGAAAGGGCAGCTATAGCTGAGAGGCCATGGAAACCAGAGAAAGCTGTAGAAATGCTGCCAGAAATTCTTGGCAATGAATTCTTGGTAATGAAAAAGCTTAACTAGGGTTGTTTTTTTTAATCATTAAAATAACCATATTTGAATTCTCTCCTTTGGAAAAGACCTGAAAAAACTTGTGGAGCTTAGACTTTTCAGAAGTAAAGGCTGTGACTTATCACACACACAAAAAAGGGGGAGGGGGGTGCAGGCATGCTTGCACCCCCCCTTCCCCCCTCCCCCCGCCACTCCAACCCTTATTGCTTTGGACAGTACTGCAGGTGAGCCAAGGTGGGGTAAAGGCAGAGGGGCACTTTGGACAGAGGAAGCGATTTTTTTTTTTTGGTAGATAAGCATTGAACTAAGAATACTGATATCATTATCTTTAGTATCATTTACCAAATGACATAACATGGGGGGGAGTATGGCACTGTTCCAAGATTAAAAGGCCCATTTCACTAGAAAGTGAAAATTCTGGGGTTTCTCACAGAGATGTTAAATTCTCACAAATATGTTAAATTACCTTTATCCTGGTTTAACAGAAAGACTGGTTTAGTGAAATTACAGGTATAGGCAGGCTTCTTAGTAGCCTTTTAGGATTCTGGACTTTTTGCTTTCCATACCAAATACCTGAAAACATGCTCACTTTATGCTTTTTGAGAAATTCTAAGAACTAACCCAGATTCATGTGATAGTCATTCATTAATCCATAGTCATCATGAGCCTCGAGGAGTAAGGCTTCAAAAGAATGGAAAAGGTGTAGGTCTTCCCCATTCCTGTCAGTTTCTGTACAGTCCACGTGCTTGCAGGAAATGTGTTTCCATTTGGGATGCCTAATTGTGTGCCAGGATTCCTCACAGCATTCCTTGAAGCCCTCTGCACAGATAATACCAGGCTGTCCTGCATGCAGAGCCTAGTCAGTCACATCTAAGTTTTTTCCCAATGTCCAAAATCTTTTTCCTTAGGTCCTGCTGATATGCCTAGTGGCAGTAGACCCACGTTCAGAGCAAAGTGTTCTTGACTGGCTTTACCTGGGCAGACAGTTCATACATCAGCTTTTTGTTCAGGGTGTAGGATGCGCTGTTGTCCTGGATCCATTGGATTGCTGCACACACATGGATCTCCCTTGGATCAAACATCTCTCTGTAAGAAGTGAGGCTTGAAG